AACACACTGTAAACCTTTAGAGGTTTTTCTTTATCCAAGTCTGACTTTACTGTAAACCTTTACGTTTTTCTGGCCACGTATCTTATCTGTTAAAACCGCCACAGTTTAAACTGCGGTTTCCAAGATGGCGGGCGTAAGCGTGATTCCAGTTTACTGCCTCAGTCCATGTTGACATCCAGCAAAAGCTGCCACTTCCAGCTGTACGTACACACCTTTCAATCGTTAGTAGAGTCTCTTAAAACAACCTTGCTGGCTGGTTTTTTTTTTTTTCTTTTTTATGCTGAGTCAGGAAGACTCCTGTAAGCGAACCGCGTGAATCTCGGCTTGTCACTAGCAAAACAGAGCACACCTGAGAAAAATGCTGCTACCAAAAATCTGTGCTTCTCTCCGTTCTTCTGTTTCCAAAATTCCTATAAAGCTTTTGTTATTTTGCGTGGAAATTCATGATCCCACTCCTGATCACCATTTTGTTAAGAGAAGCTTTCCTTGGGAGGAAAGCCTTCCCGCCCGCCTGGTTCTTGATCTGCATCAGTCCCAAATAAACACACAGGAGGCTATATTAATTATGAAGCTGTTGGCCTTGCTTGTTTCTTACTGGCTAGCTCTGACTTAAGTAATTACCCCATAATTGTTAATCTAAATATGTCTCTTACCGGAGAGGTTTCCGGGCTTCCTACCCCAATGGCGTTACATCTCCAACTCTCCTGTGTTTCTCCTTCCCAGAGTTCTCCTGGACTCCTAGTCCCTCCTATCTTGGTTCCCTATAGGCTCAACAGTACTTTATTGACAAATGCACAGGACTTCCCCCAACAGAGTACATTATAAAACAATTTATTTAGAATATCTTCTGGAAGTTCAAGGTTGAGAAGTTGCATCAATACAGGCCTTCTTGGTGGTTAGGGCCCTGCAGTCAAGAACAAGCAATATCTCTTTTCATCTACTTATAAAGCCACCAACGCAGTGGTAAGGGACCCACCCTCATGACCTCTCTGGATCTGAATTACCTCCTGAAGATGCTAAACTCCAGATACCATTAGCATATGACATTGAGAACTAAGTTTCCACCACATGGATTCTAAAGAGACAAATGGATACAGTAGAAAAACCCAGACCCCAGAGGTGTCCCACATTGGCTTCATGATTTTGCTATTGATGCTGCTGCTACTAAATTGCCTCTTTCTGTACTTATTTACATTGAACAAATAAAATGAAGCAAATATACTTAGACACGATTAAATGCACTCATGAGAATTTTATCAAAACAAAATATTTTTTTTTCAAAATTAAAAAGTGGTCTACTCAAGAATCAGGCAGAACCAAGTCAAAGCCTTCTTCAACTTTGTAGGTAAGTGGTGTTGCTATTGGACCAAGTTCTCCAGACTCCCCAAACCTGTTTCTCTCATCTATAAAATAACCACAATAATAACTGCCTCATATTTTGGCTGTAAATAATATATGCAATTATACAGGTACAGTACTTAAGTATAATAGCATTTATATAACATATGTTGTATGCCAGTCACTGACTTGTGCTCTTGAACTGTATTTAACTTATTATAGTCTTCACAATGGCTTTATGAAGTAAGCACTATTATTAAACTCATTTTGCTTGTGAGGAAGCTAGGACTAGGAATGCTAAATAATTTGCTGAAGGTCACAAGCTGATAGGTGTTGGATGTGGCCTCAGGAAGACTGGGCTATTTGCTATTTTGAGATTTCTACCCCACCCTCCCTCTGTAAATGATAAATATTCAATACTTGCATTTTCCCTAGGGGGATAATTATCTTTTTTGAAATTTCACAACATTTTGCTTTTATTTTAAGAGATCTTGGTTAAAAAATTAAACAGTCAGGAATGTTCTCACAAAATTACATTAATGATAAACCTCAGATTTCTCATCTTTCTAGCCATGAATCACATTTTTAGTAGCAACTCCCTGTGGTGGTAGAAATACGTAGTTCATGTAAACACAGGTTAATAATGCAACTCCCATGTTTCACAGGGAAGTAGAATCACATCTATCAAAATCCACAGAGGAGGCAGGTATCTTTACAGAATAAAGAACGCTTTGGTATTTTTTAGACAAGAATGTACAATGGCCTGTAGATATTTTTAATTAAAATGTACCTTTCTTCTAAAATATATTAAATTTTGTGAAAATTTTTCTAAAATTATTAAATTTTTTTCTGATTTTAATATGTGAAGAAAATTCCCATGGGAGCTGAAATCTCGGCATTCAGGCAAAATTTTCCATCTTCTATAGACATAACTCATGTTCACCCCTGCTTTTCTTCACCCAGCATGCACTGAGAACACACACACACTTAGCCCAGATACTGGAAGACACACAGAAAAAGACACAGCTTGCCTCTGTGAAGGCACTCGCATTGCCAACTAATTGCAGTCGGTGGAAAGCTGGATTTTCCAGGATAGGGATTTGATAGCTGAACACGAAAGCAGTCGATGAATGGGAGGAGGAGGATATTGCAGTGAGCAAGTCTTGCAGGACAAGGTCTTGAGGGTGGAGACTGGAATATGTTGTAACTGATACTGCTTCCGGGAATGTGGTAAGAGGCTATCAGATAAATGTACAGCACTGATTACATCATATACAGTACCCTGGAGTTAAAGAATTTTTATCCCAAGAGCGGGGAGGCATGAGCCCATCCATGTCTTTAGAACTTTGCCTGGTTTTGCATCGAAGCCGGGTTGAAGAAAATTAAGGGCAGATAAATTCAGCAGCCTAAGTGCTGTTTGCTATCACAAAAGACAAAGTTCAAATGAAGCAACTGGTAATGGGAAATTGTAAATAGATTAAGGAGGGTTCACAGGTCCTTATTTTGAAGGCCTAGATTTTCTTTATGTACAAAATAAGTCCTTGTTTTCCCCTATCTTACACATATGATTTATGAACAATCTAGAAACAATTTGTTATGATTAGTATTTATTGTGCTATTATTCTGTGCCAGGCCCTGTGTAATACCTCACATGTGTTGCTTAATTCTTACTTAACAAATAAAGAATCTAAGGCATGATAAAAGGGGCAACACCCACAAGGTCACCTTAAAGCTTACCCAAAGACCCCCAAACTTCTGTTTTCCCCCTTGACACAGTCTTTAGTATAAATCAACTCTGTCCTTTTCTTAAAGGAAAAACTTGTTCGCCTTCTAATCTCTTCAGTTACAAACCAGCCCATGTTCTGTGATGATGGTCTTGGCTCTGAAACCATCTCTCCCCTACTCAGCTACTTTCTCCTGAGATTTCAGCTCTAGGTACTGGGCCTTTTAAAGTTACTCATACTAGCTATTATTACCCTAGAAAATTAAAAAATCTTTTGCCACATCCCATATTCATCAAAGCACTGAACATTAGTAACCTCTTTCTTCTTCTTTGAAGCTTTTTTCCCTGTTGAGCGTAGCAAAGCTGATCTTCAAACATCATCACTCACATTTCAGTAGTTCTTTTTCCAGCTCTGACTAGTCTTTCCTAGGGACAGGCCTGCTCCTTTCTGACTCCACCCCCTTTCTGGCACGAATGTGATTGGTGCTGGGTTTTGTTATTTGTCTTTCTTTATTATGATTTTTTTTTGTCTCTGCTTTTCTACTTCAGCATGAGCCCTCAAGTGACCACTGGGAGTTTCCTATGCTTCAGTGCCTGGTCTCACACCCATGAAGGTATGGGCAGGACTACCTGAACTTAGTCGGTTATTTGAAAAATAAGAGGCAGGTTGGTGGGGCATGAGGATGCTTGGTGAGAGAAAATAGGGGATTGAGGTGGTCATATTTCCCTGTATACGTGCATGGAATTGCAAGAATAAAGAGAAAAATCAAATACTGTTCCCTCCCCTTCCTCTTCCCAGTACAATGCTGGAATATAAATGTCGTCCTATCTTCTTTTCTCAGAAATTTTTTTATCAAGATCCAGTTTCAATGCAACTTTGAAACCAGTTGGCTCAATACCAACTTGATTTTATGCAGCCTTCCCAAACACTTCCGTGAGGAACCAGGCTCATTCCCTAAGATTTCCTTCTATAAGCAGGCAAAGTACACAAAGACTTCATTCTGCTGCTGATCTCGGGCTTCCCGGGGTGCTCAGATTTCTTTGTTTATGAAAATAAATACCAATGAATTAAACTGACAGAATGTACTTTGAAGCCTACCGCTGCAAGGAAAGGCTTAGGCAGTGGACCTGAGTCCTCACAGTCACAGTGGCACATAGCGAGCTCTCCAGTTCCTGCAGGGCTGGAGAGACCTCCATCCCAAGCCTATGAGCCTCGCAGACCAGGACTTCCAATGTGCGAGTTTGCATTAAAGCCAACAATACACCAGGCTACCAGCGATGCTGACAGTTTAAGCGAAAGCTTCACTGTGGACCATTTACGATAACAGACAATTGACACTAATCTGCAACAGGAGCCCCGAGAAGATTCTTAAAGCTCTAGCGCTGAAATATGACTCAGGTTTTTGGGGGGTCAGAGCACAATTAAACTCCCATGCCCAATATTTATACAAAACACCAGTAAATAAAGTTATCGTTGCTCACTCTTACCCTACAATAGCATTCGTTTATGAGATAAGAGGTTATGCAAAAACCTTTACACACACACACACCGACAGAGACAGAGAGAGACAGAGAGAGAGAGAGAGAGAGAGAGAGAGAGAGAGAGCATCGACCCTAAAATTTTGCTTTTGTTCCTTCCTTTGCTTGCTTGTAGTTTAATATTGCTGAGGGTGGGAGGAGAAATCTCAGTTCCCTAGCCTCCTCTCTGCTCTCCTATAGGATTAGCCTTCGAGTAGTCCAAGAAACTTTTTTGAAAGTTTTTCTTTCTACCTTCCTTTCTGCCTTTCCTCTGTCAGCTCGGCCCCTTCAAGCAACCAGAGGCTTGAGAGCAAATCCTGTAACAGCTGAAAGCCTAGAAGGCAAAAATCCCCTCGGGTCTACCCGGGTGCTTAGGGCAGGTGACACAGTGACTATTTCCTATGCGCTGGTTTGACAGTTTCATCCCCGCCCACTGGCAAGAGAGCTCCCAGCACCGCCAGCTGCACAGGCGCGCGGAGGGGACCATAAAAGCTGCAGCAGAGAAGCAGAGCTCGCCCACCACCCGCTGAGCCGCAACCCACCATGCACGTGAACGGCAAAGTGGCCCTGGTGACCGGTGCAGCGCAGGGCATAGGCAGAGCCTTCGCCGAGGCTCTGCTGCACCACGGTGCCAAGGTAAGGACTTCTCCGTCCACCCACACTCTGGAGCCCCTAGGATGCAAAGCCCCAGGCTCACTAGCAGAGTTCCAATGCCGCTGGCAGAGAACCCGAACTTGGATCATCACATTCTGAAGTCTAAGAAGGGAGCGTCTTGTTTATTCATTGCTGAGCGTCTGCGGCTCGGGGGCAGGAGCTGCACATAAGACCTGCTCCCTCTCTCTTCTTATTTGTAGGTAGCGTTGGTGGATTGGAATCTCGAAGTAGGCATAAAGTGTAAAGCTGCCCTGGATGAGCAGTTCGAATCTCAGAAGACTCTGTTCGTCCAGTGTGATGTGGCTGACCAGAAACAACTGAGAGGTAAGACATAGGGAATCAATCTATAGACTCGGGAATATGCCCTGAGCAAGCAGCAACCTGAAGACTGCCAGGTAAGAGCCCTCGAGCCTGAGCTCCAGCCTAGCTCTATCTCTCCGGAGAAGCTGCGCCCTTCTAGCTCCAATGGATAGTTTGGACTGTTGTGTTTCTTTCTGACAATTCATGGCTATAAAAACTAAGGGAAGACAGGACTCCCTAAGAAATCCTTTTAGTTTAGTTACTTGGCAGCACATAATGTAATCAAATGTCTTTTGTGTATTCGAAGACATTGCTGCTACAGTAATTACTCAGTGAGGGGACAGGCTGAGGAACTGTGGCAATAGCTCTCAGAAAGCTAGGAGATGCAGAGTTAATGACAAGCAAATGTGCTTTCTCTTAAACACTTCAGAGTATAAGCTCAAGGGCCAGGGTCACAGGCAAACCAAATGCTTTTGACCAGATGTTTTCTCTGGGTCTTCCCCCACCCCCACCCCCAACCCCCCCACCCCGCCACCTAAGATGGCTCTTAAAATAATAACTGTGTGGTGTTAGAATTAAAGAAGAAAAGACGCTATCGCCTTTCCCCAATGTTTTCCTGTTTTTCTGTGATCTCTTAAAATAGACATGTGAAATATCAGGAAGAATATTGGCGTCAGCAATATACACTGGCTATGTATAGAGGGCTCAAGGAATTTTCATAAAGCAAATTTCCCAGGAGAAATATATAGAAAAACATATTGGTGTTTCACAAGGTGTTATTCCAAGGAATGGAGTAAATTGGTAGGCACATTTTCAATCCAGAAGTCAGAAAACTTCCACCAGGTTTACTCTAGAGTTTCTATTAAAGGGTTACTGAGGTCCTAGGTTTCTTTGATGTTAGATATCCTGTGAGTAAAATGGACTGACAATGAATCTAAAGATAAAGGAAACTGTATTAAAGAGAATATCATTAAAATGTGAAAGTGATAAAATGTCAGGCAAAATATTGTATGCATGAGTAGGACATATTTTTAAGAGCAGTCATACTCTTAGTCATACTCAAAGTCACAGAACATATTTTGCCAGAGGATAGTTTTATTGATAGCATATTAGTGACATTTAGGTTCAAAGAAGACCCAGCATTCATGCTGCTGGAATTGGGATCAGTATAGATAATTTATATAGCTTTACACATGATATTTAATGTAAGTTACTTTGCCAATATTCAAAATGAGTACTATAGCTATGAGCTTCCTTAAGCATAAGTAATTGTGAAGGGAACTCAGACATATAACACATGATCCTGAAGGTTTATCAATTATAAGAATTCCACCTGTTGTTTAGAGAGGTACAGACATAAAATTAAAGGGTGACAGCGATTCTCACAACTTCAGAACTTAATGCTGCCCAAGACCTTTAAAACTGTTTAGATACATTGTAAAAATACGGAGTTGAAAAGATTCCTCATCTAGAGGTGTTACTGTACAAATTAACAAATGAAACAGCACAGAAAGCATGGTAAAGAGTATCATACCATGTAAATGTCAGAGGGAGCTCAACTTTGAAGTCATGTAGCCATGGAAAAGTAGATGGCAGCTAGAGAGAGTGTTCAGTGGCTAAGAGCACTAGCTGCTCTTCCAGAGGTCCCAAGTTCAATTTCCAGCAGTCTTATAGTGGCTCAAGAAAAGCAGATGGCACAGAGCACTTTGGTAAAATCAAAGCAGTGAGCTGGGCAGTGGTGGCACAGGCCTTTAATCCCAGCACTCGGGAGGCAGAGGCAGGCGGATCTCTGTGAGTTCGAGGCCGGGCTGGACAGCCTCCAAAACAATACAGAGAAACCCTGTCTCGTAAAACAAAAAATAAATAAATAATTAAATCAAAGCAGTGGCAACAAGGAGGGCAGAAAATTAAAGAAAAATCATACATATGTATTTGATAACTTAATTTCCCATTAAGTGGGACTGTCCCTGTAGAGGAATGAACATGAAATCTAGGATAGGAGGGGTGGGGGCAGATTAATATTCCTTGAACTTTTCTGGAACCAATAAGACTTAAGAAATGGTTACAAAATTCCACTAAAAAGTAAAAAAGTTTGTTTTATTGTTATTATTTTTGTTGTTTTCTAATTTGGCCCAATGAGTACAAAGTGATACTTGTGCAAAAACTTTGACAATGTGCTTAACAATCAACTTGCACGCTAATTGCCTCCCCTAAAATATTTGATGGTTGTTAAAAACTCAATAAATTTACTTCAGCCAAGAAAAAATTTGGGTTGATCTACCTATTTAAAGAAGTCCATGTATTCACCTGAACGGCTGGAAATACATTTCTGTAGTGTGAAAGAATAAACACAGTTGCTGTCTATAGTCTGAAGTAACAGAAGTAGAACAAAAATGACCAGGGAACTTGTTAAATATATAGAACTATATAAAAAGATTCTTAAAGGAATATGAGCTTCTTGTCAGGCAGTGGTGACACACTCCTTTAATTCCAGCACTTGGGAGGCAGAGGCAGGAGAACTTTTGTGAGTTTGAGGCCAGCCTGGTCTACAGAGTAAGTTCCAGGACAATCAAGGATACACTGAGAAATCCTTTCTCAAAAAAAAAATGAGCTTCCCAATACTAAGGTGGTAAAACCAACTTTGAATTGTCTATAGAGGGTTTACAAGACTTTGATATGTGCTTAGACAAAGCAATGAGTGAGATTCAAGTCTTAAAATCTACATAAATTTCCCAATTCAACACAGTTTTATACAAAGCCATAATGTAAAGTAGTAATGATAATAGGAGGGAAGAATGAAACAGTAAACACGAAAGTAACATTAACATGATGAAATCAACTGATTCATATAAAGTAAACTTCTACTTATTCAGACATTAAAGATTTCTGAAATATGGTCATAATAAATTTAAATGCATGAGTACTTGAGTTAGTTTAATACTTCAAATACACAATATAACTTATTAAAGGGGGTTATTTGAGGGGCTAAGGGCATAGTTCCTATGGCAGAGCTCTTTTCTATAATGTGTAGGTCCTAGATTTAACTCTTGCTGCAAACAAACACAAAGAATGTGTGTTATTGTCTATACCAAAGAGTTTCAATAATTTCTTAAGAAAAGAAAGATACTAACTACACAAACTGATCTCAAGAGAGTTCATAGTTTGGGATGCTCACTTCTCTAATATTAACTCCATCAATTTATTGATTATAGAACCCTATATGAATTCAAATCACCTAAGTATATGTTGAAGTCAGATTTTGATTTAGTAGGCATGCAATAACTATACTTATCTAACATTTATGTAACTCTAGGTGATAAATTTATCTACAGACCATTTATGGAGAACTATGTTATGAGTGGAATTCTTACTATGTGGTTAAACAGATTTAGAAATTCAGCCAAACTTGATGGTACAAGCCTGTAATTTCAGCTATGGAAGCTGAAGCATGAAGACTCCAAGTTTAAGGATAATCGAGGCAATTTAGTGAGACCCTGAATCAAAATAAAAAGTCAAAAGATGACTAGGGATATAACTCAGTGGTAGAGGGCTTGTCTAGTATATCAGGTCCAAAATTCAACCTTGTAGTACAACAATAAAATTGAATAATAAAATAAATATCCTCTCATAGGAAATCATTTAAACACATGTATGGAAAATGAAAATATTTGTCTCTTTTTTATTAGATACTTTTAGAAAAGTCGTAGACCATTTTGGAAGATTGGATATTTTGGTCAATAATGCAGGAGTGAACAATGAGAAAAACTGGGAGCAGACACTGCAAATTAATTTGGTAAGCTATATTAGGCTTATTTATTCATTAAAGTATTCAGTATTAATTCTTTATACATAAAATGTTATTATTATATTTATAGAACGCCAATTTTGACCTTCCATGTAAAAAAGTATGTTAGTAAAAGCTAGCAAATAATCTTAATATTAAGATACTTTATATTTGTAATTACGAAAACATGTCTTAAATATTAGAGAGAAGCAAAATAATACAATTCATTAATGACATGAAATATGTGAATAAGTGAAACTGAAATTTCAGTATCTATAAAGTTTAATTAAGATACAATCCTGCAGTCATTGTTATGTATTTTTGTGTCTAGACTTTTTTTTTTGCAATAGTAGCAGACTGAATGTTGTGACAAAATCCTTATGGCTTGTAATGCTAAAAATATTTACCATCTGGTCCTTAATCCTGACTCAACTAACTTATTTGAAAAACAAGTCTTAAATTCTGGAAATAGATCAGAAAACAAGGTTAAGGAGACTATTAAATTTTATTGTTAGTATGACTTTTGTCATGAAATTCAGTAATTCCGTGTGTGTGTGTGTGTGTGTGTGTGTGTGTGTGTGTGTGTGTGTGTGTGTGGACAAGCATGTTCTTTTGTGTGATATCCACATTTGAAGATGAGCTACCTCTGAAGCAAACTATGAGTAACATTTTAAAATGAGATTTTCAGTTCATCCAATGTTGTACAAGTGGATAGATTATGACATTTTATGAACACCTTCAACATAAGGCTATTGTAGTTTATAAAACCCAAACCTTTGCCCGGCATTGCAAGAAAACAAGAACAAAAATAAAACATAAGAGGTGTGTAGCTAAAACAAAATGTCAGATGGATTTTATGCAGGGCCAACATGCTCTGGCCCAAGTTCTTACAAATTTGCAGAGCAGCCAAAGCATCAAGTCCTGCACAGGGACTTCGCGTGTGAGAATGCAGTGTACTGTTTCATGAGTTTCTTCCTGGGGATAATAAGCTTAAGAATTGGAGCCATGGTTTTTGTTCTGTTTTGTTTTGTTCTTCTGAGGACTGAGTTCAGGGCTCATATATACAAAACAGATATTACACCATCGCCATGTACCACCATCCACAATGCATCCTCCTGAGAAATCTTATCCAACATGGTCCTCCCCATTCTCATAGAATGCTACAGTGGATAAGTCCACTAGAACTGTTTTTAGATATACAACTTGTGCTAGCACACATTAAGTTCTTTGAGGACAGAAAATTACCTTTTGTGTTCTTACTGGGTAGAAGACAAAAACTCTTGACAAATTAATATGTATTAATTGAGTGTGCCTCCCTGTATTTTAGTACAGTCTTTGGTGATTCGCCAAACCATCCCATGTGTCCTTGCACTTTCATCACTATATTACCAGTTTCTTATTCCTCACCCTCACGATCTCGCCGGTCTTCCCACATAGGGAAAGCACTCATTCTATTGTCTCACTAGTCATTTTTGAGCTTCTCCCTTTATCTTAAAGAAATGCCAGCGTCATTTGTAATCCCTCAGAGATCACCAGGAATGTCCTACATAGAAAAAAATGTTTGCAAAAATCACAAATGATCATTCTGGCAATAGATCAATGGCAGGCAATAGATCCATGACAATAGATCAATAGATCAGGAGGATGCATTGGGGATGGAGGTACATGGAAATGATGTAATATCTGTTTCATATATATGAATCCTGAACTCAGTCCTCAGGAAAACAAAACAAAACAAAAAAGTGCTCTTACCAGCTGACCCATCTATTCAGCCCCAGCTAGTTCCTGTTTCTAAGCTTATTATCCCCTAGGAAGAAACTCATAAAATAGCACTCTGTATTTTCACATATAATGTCACTGTGCTGTACTTAATACTTAGCTGCTTTGCATATTTGTAATAACTTTGGTAGGTAGAATTATTTTAAATATTAGTAAAGAAACTTTAATGAACATAAACAATTCATCTCCACACAAATGAGAAAAACAATCTAATTTTGATATATAATTGACATATATTGAATCATTTACTATAGTCAAATGAAAAGCAAAATATAAAGCTGTTTTTGATTATTTTCTTTCTAGAAATACTAGTTGACTACCAATTTTCTCTGAGGAAAAAGGGGGAGGCATATTTGAAGTTAATAAAAACCTAAGTTTAGTTCTGAATCTAACAATTTATGGACTCTTGCTTTATATCTCTGATCTTGAATTTCACAGATGTGAAAAGAAGTTAAATTTCCTACCTCTAACCACCATTAAGCTTAAATGGAACATAATTTGTGTGAAGAATACAGCCCCATGTTATGTAAGAGACATTCAATAAAGCATATTTCCCCTCTAGGTATCAGAATATATATTTGTGCATGACCTCCTTTTTATAAGAAGTGGATTCTTCTGCCTTATTGTACCTCTAATAAGGAGATGAATTGAGAAAATATGCAGAACTGTTGCTGATTTTTTAAAGTTTATCATGCATTCATCAATGAGAATTTAAGAAAAAGACAAAAGCATGCTGTTTGAGTTAAGCCCACATTGGGGTCAGACATATAGCAGACAAAAGACACATAGTGGGGAGAGTAACATCAGAAATAGCATGAAAAAAATTCAAAAGTGTTACACAAAGCATACAAGACTCTGCCCAGCACCCAAAGGACAACAATGAAAGAAAAGAATAAAGGAAAATTATTCCTGTCTGAGTCAAGACTCAGAAACATAGGCTGACCCAAACAGAACCTTATGGTGCCGTACTAGGTGCTGTACTTGGGGTGGGAATTCTGGGAGGGAAAAATGCATTGTTTCATTAAAGGGTGAATTCCCCACCCCCATTGTTTTTAATGTGTGTCTTTTTGTTGGCTCCAAAGGATATTAAGGGCAATGAAATAACTATTTGCTGTCATTGATACTCTATAACAATGAAAGTTCTAGTTGAAGTACATTAGGAAGATTTTGCTAAATTGTAAGTATCTCTACCGAAGTATAAGACATAATATTCAGCACTAAAACAAGAAACTTAGACATGAAAAATTAAACAGTGAAGGGGATTTCAGAAAAATAGTCATCTCTACTAATATTCTTTAAAAATTGGCCTGCAGAAAATACAAGGACCCTAAAAAGCAAAGTCACGTGATTTAGATGCCACAATATTCTCATTACAATGTAATGTGAAAACCATAAACTATTAAGTAGAGTAGAGGGGAGTGACATGAGGGAAATGGAGAAATGATAGATTGGTAATTTTAGTATTGAAAAATATAGGTGTATGTCTCTCTGAGTGTGCATGTATGTACACCATGTGTGTGTGCTGTAGAAATATGTGGTGCCTGATAAAAAGGAGACCAACAATTTGAATATTACCACCTGTATAGATGCTTTAGTTACTAGAGAGTTATTCCTAGTACAGAGGAATTGAAAGGCATGGATGTAAGTTATAGACCACTGCAATTAACAAAATATTCTAACACTTGGAATAGGATTTACCTACAATTTGAGTATTATATATGAAAGTTTACTATTCACAATCAAAAGTACTGAAGGAACATGTTGATTTGGTCATTTTATCAACAGTTAAAGAATTTCTCCCTTCTCTATTTGAAGTTAGAGAACTTTTTGTTGAAATCAAAAACAGAATTTTAACTACATTCACAATGTATCTTAAATAATACCACAGACCCAATTTATTCATTTTTAATTATTTTTTTAGGTTAGAAACAACCTTGTTTCACATGTCAATCCCAGTTCCCTCTCCCTCCCCTTCTTCCCCACCATCCCCACCAGGTTCCCTAGTCCCCCACACAATCTCTACTCTGATCCCCGAGGAGGGTGAGGCCCTCCATGGTGGATCTCCAGTGACTGTCATTTCATCCAGGGCAGGGCCTAGGCCTTCCCTCAAGAATCCCAGCTGAGAGAGCATCCCATATTGTGGCATAGCCACTCAAAGTCTATTTGTACGCTAGGGATAAATACTACCCAAGGCCCCATACATTACCTAGGCCTCCTCACTGACATCCACATTTAGGAGTAGAGACCAAATTTATGTCCTCTTTCATCTTGAAATGTCACACAATTTTATCTAGATACTTGATTCAATGATCCAATACATAAGATATATAGCATTTCTCAAAACCAAGAAATACTAACAAGACATATTTCATTCTATGACTTTTCTAAAAGTTCATTGTGTCTGGGGGGGGTAGTGTGTGAAATCTGGAACAAGGAAAAGATTGTTATAGAAAGAAATGAAGATATCATTTGTATACAACCCAAACTTAGATAATACTTGAAGTTTCTTCCATCAACACTTTCATTTAAAAAGTTAATCAGTTCTTCAACTTAGATGGTTGAGAAAAATACTCCCTTGTCCTCATCTATAGAAAATACAAAAATGAATCTTGCCTTTTAAAACTAGGGAGCTAGAGAGATGGTTCAACACTTAAGAGCATTGGCTACTCTTGCAGAAGATATAGGTTTGGTTCTCAGCACCCTCAGAGTGACTCACAACCCTATGGAACTCCAGTTCCAGGGACCTGATACCTTCAAAGGTACCAGCCACCCACATGATGCTCATTCATACATGTAGAATAAAATAAATATATTTTTTAAAAAATAGTTTAAAATTGAAGCTTAAACTTTTGTTCATATCTTGCCACAACTGCAGATTTTGGAAACACAGAATGTCAGCAAAATTTTAAATATCAGAATAAAAGCACGCACTGGTGTGTGTAACCTAGAACCTTACTCAGGCATGCTGAAGAACTGGGCAGAAACTAAACGAATCTAATTGATTTCAGTAATTTCAGCCATGTACATACTTGTTTCCTTCTTATATAATCCATTGTTTTCTTTTTTCATTTAGAGGGCAACTGTTATAAATTATTTATTGTCTTACTTAACTGGAAAAATGCCTTACATGAGTAGAATTTTGGCTTATTTTTGTTTTGTTGTTGTTCTAGAAATATACTACAAAAAGAAGTTTCCCTGAACACTACTAAGAAAGTACTTTTTAAAATTAAAAGAATGCAAACACAAATATGCTCTATCAGTTTCAGACTCAGGGCCTTTTGACCTTTTTCTCTGCATTTCTGTTAAGCATAGATAAAGAAAGAATAAAACAGTCCAAAGAGAATTTTTCATTTTTGAAAAGCTTAAGCAGACATAGAGAAGAGTTATTTCAGAGAATAGTGAATTCTTACAAGTTAGAGTAAAAGCAGTAATAGTATCCACTGAAGGAGGCAAGCGGGAAAACAGTAGGCTGACTATCAGAACGAAGCCATTAGTGTGGTTAATAGCATTAAGTAGTAGATATGTCTTAAGACTGTGTCCAAGTAACAGAAACTCCCCACTCAAACTAGAGCTAGAAAAGAGTTATGTGATTTCCCCAAACTGAAGGTCTTGGGCTTATCCCATACTGTATGCTTCTATCTGTCTAGTCTCTTTTCACTCAACAACCTGTCATCTTCTGCTCAGGTTTCATCTTCATGAGACGAGTAGCGTGGCTGTGCTTCACACTGACTGAATATTTACCAAGCAATGTTAAGGGAATAATGTAGCCACTTTGTCATGTCATTCCTAAGAACAACAGAGACTATCACTGGTTTCCATTCTTCACCTCCTTCTTGCCAACCTCGGGTCTCACTAGCCATACCTGGCACATACTCTAGTCTCCCAACATGGCACTATAAAGAGAGAGGTCACTTCTATTGTGTTACATAGAGAAGACACATACAGATGTAAAATAAATAGCTTCTTCCTGTAATCCCAACACAAAGGAATCTCTTCAGCAAGCGGTGCTCAAAGGACTGTGGATACACATGCAGAAGAATAAGGTTAGATTTCTGTCCTTCACCCCATACAGAAACCCACTCATAATGTTTCTGAGACCTTAGATAAGATCTAAAACTCTGAGACTCTTAGAAGAAAATACTCATCAAATACTTTAAGATACACGCATAGGCAAGAGCTCTCTGAAAAGGACTCCAGTCCTTGGGAAATAATAGTAATAATTAACAAGTAAGATCTGCGAAAGTCAAAAATTTCGGCACAGCAAAATAAATAACCAAGAGAAGAGACAGCCTATAGAATGGGAAAAATTCTTTCCTAATTATTTATCTAAAGGAAGATTAGTTACCAGCGTATATAAAGAATTTGATAAATTCTAATAGTTAATTTGGTTTATACACTACGGTGCTCTAAAAATATTCTTGATAGTTCTGTTTTAATTTTTTTTGACTTTATAACAAAGCGTTTTGATAAAATCTACCCCACACTCTGTCTTCCCCAACTCATCCCACCCCTACCATTTCTCCCGTCTGCTCTCATGAACTCACAGCAGCTGTGGTTTCCTGCACAAGACCACGCGAGTCAGTATTCCTGCACTGATCATGGAGGCACCCACTGTGGGGGTGATACGTCTGCACTACCTCATGTTGCTTGCCTTAGTAAATCAAACTTGTGATCAACCTTGTAACCAAGATAATCGTTTGTTTTGAAGTCAGTTAAACTGATGCACTGAATACTCTACTCGTTTGATTTGGCTTGCCTTTAATAAAAACAAGATAACCAATCTTGAAAAAAAGAAAAGAAAAAAGAACTCAAAGGAAACAAACGCAATCTCAAAGTAAAAATCAAAACATAATAGTAAATAGACTAATGACATGAACAAACAGTTCTCAAACTTCCACCATTCTTAGCCACCAGGAAAATGCAAATGAAAACGAAACTAAGTCAAGGGAAAGCAAATAAAATAATGTTTACAAGGATATAGGGGAAAGGGAACCTTTATACACTGCTGATAAGAATATGCATGTTTGCAAATGAAAATTCAGTTTTATCTAAGCGACTCTAACCGAAGAAATAAATTACTGTTAAGGGTAGGCTACATGCCCAGGAGTAGATATGCCCAACAATGTTGTTGTGGAGGGAGGAGGGAAGGGGTACTATGGTTAGTATGTAAAATGAATTTTTACAAGGATTAATAGTTGTATCACTTTTTCCATTATTGTTTCTGGATTAGGTTTCTGTTATCAGTGGAACCTACCTTGGTTTGGATTACATGAGTAAGCAAAATGGAGGTGAAGGTGGTGTCATCATCAATATGTCTTCATTGGCAGGTAAGAGAAATTCTTATTTTAACAGGAAGTTTTTCCTGCTGGTAACTTGAACCACAAAAGTAAATCTGTGAAGTATATGGATCATCAAGACAAGATTGAATTGAATCTGAGTCTTGTTTGTTTTCTTAACTATTCCTTAGATATTTCTACACACACAGAAAATTTGAACAATATATCTCTTACTTCTTTATAGTGGTATTGTGTGTGTGTGTGTGTGTTTCCAGCTACTGTTTTGTAAATATTATTTTAATACTTCCAAATAGTAACACGTGTGCAAAATATTTGACAAAATAAAAACTATTAATGGGATATAAACTATCTCTAGTCCCTTGTGAATTTACTAAGAATATGTAATTTTAAAACTTGATATCATCGGTACTGGTTGGTGTATGCTAAGGTGTTAAGCAACATCCACGCACCCTGGTTTCAATAAATAATAAGTTTGGGCAATATCTTTATATTATCAAGGGCAAGATTTTTAGTACTGAGTACCTAATCTATATACAGCAGTTGAGAAAAAGCTGGCTAACAGAGGGTTTCGCCTTTATCACGGAGCTTCTAGAGCTACTCTGCACTTGAGAGACTCCTCCCTGTCCAGTAGAAGGAAGGAAGGCACATAGAGGAAACATTACTGCTCTTCCACTCCCTCCTGCCCAAGCCTTGACAGACATTATTGTGCTCACACTCCAGTATAGAACTTGATCTCATGGTTCATCTAGCTACTTAAAGTATCTTGAAAAATTGATTCCAAATTGTGCATGCCAGAAAAAATGTTTTCAGTGGACAGCTTTTCTTTTACCACACTGAAGAAGAATTGAGGCTGCACAAGCAATCCAGTAGTGATTTTCATTCAGAGTAAAGCGGTTTAATATCAGCTAAATACTGTATTCTTCAATGATAGCCACATATATGTGGGGCAACTCAGTTATGTAACTGAACTTTTAAAAATTCCAGTCAAGGATGGATGTATTGCAGAAGCTGAGTTAGGAGGAAAAAGGGAGGACTCAGAGTTAGAGGCCAGCCTAGCCAGCAGCAATGACCCATATCAAACAAAGGAACAACAACCAAAGTTCTAGGAATAGTTAATCAAGGCTTATAGATAGGTGCCATTGAAGTCATAATATTTAAGAAACCTGATCAATGTTGATAGCAAGTCTAAACTCTGTATGTTCAAAGTATAAGAAGACCTTAAATTACCTTCTTAGTCTCAGTGCAGTAACTTCAGAATAAGAATTCTCTCTCTCTCTCTCTCTCTCTCTCTCTCTCTCTCTCTCTCTCTCTCTCTCTCTCTCTCATACACACACACACACACTCACACTGCTGTTTTTTTCTGCCTCCGACAGTATTAGGGGAGTCAGGAGTGGCCAGTAGTAGTATTTGGAGGTGTCTATGATGCAAGTCAATCCGTAATTCTCATTCTCAGAATTTTGATAATTCCTTCAGAACTTATAAAAGTACCATTTGTATGTTTATAAATATCCTTCTTTAGGAAATCTGAAATGAGACTGACATCTCATTTTCTGGGTTGCCTAAAGTGAAAATGACCCCCTAATGTAATGTGGTTACAAACCTAACTGATAAAGCATTAAGGACAATTGGGTTCCCCCCTATGGCATATACTTATACATGACAATGCTTCAATTCTAAGGATACGCTAAAAGGCCCTGTCCCAAATGTTACTTTTAAATGAGAGAGGTGGGATTGGAAATTTGGCTCAGCAGTTGCTCTTGCAAGGACCACAGTACCCAGCAGCTGCATCAGGCAGCTCACAGTAATCTATAAAAATAAAAATGACCCTCTATAAAAATAAATGAGATGGGAAGCCTGGGGTAATAGGTCAATAGTAGAGTGTTTACTTTGTATGCTTGAAGCACTAGGATAAATTCCTAGTATGAGAAAGAATTGGAGAGAGAGAAACAGGGAGACTATTCTATGGATAGTCTTTATACAGCCAATTGAGTCAGCAAAGCTTGGAAAACCATGGATACTACATAAATATACGTGGATCCCCTTATCTTTGTGTCAGTGGAGGCCTTGTGTGATTCTTAGGAAGCTTGGAATGGTTGACTTAATACAGCACTGTATGATAAAGATTACGAACTATATAAATGAACTTAATTGACTCAAGGAGCAGCAATGGAGAGAGATACATGATAATACTACTGTCATCTTTTCCAGCTAAAATGTTTAAACACACACCCGGGCGCACTTCTTGACATTAATTGTTTATTCATGCATTAGCTTTCTTTCATTATAGTCAAATACCTGGGATAATTCACTCAGAAAGAAAAAAACTTAAAGGAAAAAGACTAGAACTGAGTTCTGAAGTTGTAGGCCAAGTTCAGCAGATAGGATCTCGAATCCTCTTATAAGGGCAGTGCATTGTGGAAGAGTGAATGATTGACCAGAACAACAATATCCCAATAGATAACTATCAGGGTCCTCCATTCTCAATCATGAGCATGTCACCAGTGACCTGAGAACCTCTTCAAAGGTCTCCTCCTAAAGGATTTACTATCACTCAGTCGCACTGTCCTCAAGATAAGATCATTTACATATTAACCTTCAGAGGACACTGAGCAACCAGACTACAGAAATTTAGTGATATCGTAAACACTGCGTTTGCCATCTCCTCTGGTTCCAAGCATAAACCTGTGAAGAAAAGTCCATAGTCTCTGCTATGAGCATGAGGACAAGGTCATATAGTTAAGTGTCATGTCCCAGCCCATGCAGCCAATGCACAACATTACTGGAATTCACACCTGAAGTCTGATGCAAAACATACTAAACTCTAACCCTTCATCCTTATCTATCTCATATGTACATGGATTATGAGTCTACCTCTTTATCCAAGACTGAGCTTATGAAAACCATAAAGGAAATTGTAGTCCTGCCTTGAATAAATCTTTTCACTTTCCTGGTCCCTCCAGGACTCATTGAGGTGGCAAGGAGGGAACTCTAATCTCAAGGCTATGAAACTTCAGCTTTTCCTTCTTTGACACAAGTTCCAATGTGTCATCAAAAGGCCCTCAATCTAATGATGTTCATTTTGCTTCCTGGGCTAAGAATTGTGTTCGTCATATCACTTGCCCTTGGAGGTTTTTCGTTTTGTTTTGTTTTGCTTTTGTTTTTTGCCTATTTCAGACACAAATCTACAACTATGTATGAACTTTTGTTCCTGCAGGTAGAAATTCAGTGATCTGATTGTTCTGGTTTTAAATTAACTATCTAGCCTATAGTCACTGCAAGCTCCTTCTCCCTTTGATTTTCATCCTAGCATATAAGACACTGCATTTCAAAAGACTAAGCAATGGACTAAGTTTCTCTTTGTCCACTCTGCTGGGTTCTCAGCCCTCTCCTGTTGTCCTCTGCTTGACCAATGCAGACTCCACACCAGCATGCTTTATATCCTTAGCCTCTCTCCTGCTGCCACTCTTCCCACCCAGAGTGCTCCCTAACATGACGTCACTGCCAGAGTTTTAAAGCAGTCTTGCATTTTATAAAATAATGTCTAATTCATACACAGTAGGTCCTTTTGATAAAATTTCAGAGTGTAATCCAAACATTCCAGAGGAGTAGACAGGAGGAGGGTCACTCTGAAGACAGTGTCAGCTCCATGGTGAGACCCTTGTCTCCAGGGGGAAAAAAAGGTTAAGCCTGTAGCTCAGTAGACCACTCACCTAGCATGAATAAGCACGTGTGTGTGTGTGTGTGTGTGTGTGTGTGTGTGTGTGTGCATGCGCTTGCAGGCATATTGACACACAAGTGTACACATAAACAACAGAGTATTAAAATAATACAAGGTAAAAGAAGACCCCTTATTTATAATTTTCTCAAGAACTATATCAAATATATGACCTTGAACCATAGTACATAGATTGAGATCATCAAACAAACAAATTAAAATCTTAGAGGAATTATTATTAAATAGAAAGTACTTTTTTATCTTATTTTTGGATTATAATTGCATTATCCCCCTCCCTTTCCTCCCTCCTTATCATATACCCTGTTTTGTTTTCTCTCAAATGTTTTTTCCTTTTTTTAATTTAAATTAGAAATAAGCTTGTTTTACATGTCAATCCCAGTTCCTTCTCCCTCCCCTCCTCCCTTGCCCCCCTCCGATCCCCTATCCCATCCCCTGTCTGCTCCCTAGGGAGGGTGAGGCCTTCCATGGTTGATCTTCAAAGTCTGTCCTATAATTTGGAGCAGGGCCTAAACCTTCCCATGTGTGTCTAGGCTGAGATTGTGGATTGGGCACCCAATGTCCATTCATATACTAGGGATAAATACTGATCCACTACCAGAGGCCCTATAGATTAACCAGACCTCCAAACTTACGTACTTGTTCAGGGGGTCTGGATCAGTCCTATGCTCAAGTGTTTATGAGCTCCCCCTTGTTCAGGTCAGCTGTTTCTGTGGGTTTCTCCAGCCTGGTCTTGACCCCTTTGCTCATCACTCCTCCCTCTCTGGATTCCAGAGTTCAGCTCAGTGTTTAGTTGTGGGTGTCTGCTTCTGCTTCCATCAGCTACTGCATGAAGTCTCTAGGATGGCATATAAGGTAGTCATCAATCTCATTATCGGAGAAGGGCATTTAAGGTAGCCTATATCGACAATTTCTTAGATAGTTAGTTCTCTCTCAAATATATGACCCCCTTTTTCATTAATTATTGTTACATGAATATATATATATACATATATATGTAATCTCTAAATATAAGTTGCTTATCTATACAATGTTTCTTGTATCTATGTTTTCCGGGCTGACCGCTTGGTAGTGGATAACCAATTGTCACGACTGCTGCGCGGCCTGTGTCCGAGACTGGAGAAGACTCTTTCTCCCTTTCAAAGTGCTTTTATCATTCACTTCCTGTTTGTTTTCCACACTTCCTTTACAAGTTTTTGGTTTTGGTTTTGTTCTTTCGGCTCACGCTAGTGCATTCAGAGCTGCAAGTCATATTCAACTCATCTGGGTCAGCCCTTACAATTTCCTGTAGACATGC